TCACCTCTGCCAGATGCTCACCTCCCAGGTTCTCTCCTACCCAGGTCTCCTAGGTGCTCAGTTCCCCCAGGTGCTCACCTCCCAGGTACTCACCTCTGCCAGGTGCTCTCCCACCCAGGTCTCCTAGGTGCTCACCTCCCCAAGTGCTCACCCCCAGGTACTCACCTCTGCCAGATGCTCACCTCCCCAGGTGCTCTCCCACCCAGGTCTCCTAGGTGCTCATTTACCCCAGGTGCTCACCCCCCCAGGTACTCACCTCTGCCAGATGCTCACCTCCCCAGGTGCTCTCCCACCCAGGTCTCCTAGGTGCTCACCTCCCCAGGTGCTCACCCCCCAGGTACTCACCTCTGCCAGATGCTCACCTCCCCAGGTGCTCTCCCACCCAGGTCTCCTAGGTGCTCAGTTCCCCCAGGTGCTCACCTCCCCAGGTGCTCATATCCTTTGCCCTCGGAAGTTTCAACCGCACTCAGATGTCGAGTCTCCTGGCCCTATATCTCTTCCACCTTGTGTGTTAACGTGACTGATAATCTAGCCCTATTAACAGTAACATCTAGTAGCATCTAAGTGCTCCCCCAGTACCTCTTACTAGCCCAGAACCCCACTATTGTTACATAAAGGCAAGGCTCTCACGGTGACCCACGGTACTGAAACTTCAGGACCCAGGGGGCAAGCCTGGAGTGCAGGGAGGGGCCAGAAAACAGGTCCCCCTCTTGCCAGGCCCCTCTGTAGGAAAGTGCCGTGTTGGCACCACCCCCTGGGTCAGGGATGTTGGAGTGTCCAGGGCCACCCCTTGCCCCGTAGAAGCTGCTCCCATCCCCCCAGGCCTCCATCGCATCTGCCCCACTAGTTCCTGTCCTTACTGAGCACAGCCATGCTGGCTACTTCCTGCCTCTGTCACCTGCTGAGATGGGGCCATACCAGAGGCCATGGGGCTGGCCCACTCAGTGGGGRGCCACTGTTGTCCTGCCTGCCCTTGGTGGAAGTTGGTGAAGGACCTGAGCCCAGAGCTTTATCTCTGAGAGAAGGGTCACCTCTGGGCCATCACCCTTCACCTAGGGGCTTCCCCACTTCTCGGATAAGGAAAGAGTGTGAGGAAGGTTAGGGTGCCTTGGGCCCAGGTCTGTCTCCAGGTCACACTCGGGAAACGAGGCTGAAACAGGGTCCTGACCTGTGCAGAAGGCCCTACCGCGGGCTCACTGTATTCTGAGTGATGCCTGATATTGGCTTATGTGCGGCTGCGGGCACTGATGAAGGCAGGTGCCTGACGTGGCGGGCACAGAAGTCACTGGGCCCCACCCCCTGCAGCTATGGCAAAGGTCAGCCTATCTGCTGAGCCCCACTGTGCCCTGGCCATGGCAGAACAGAGCTGTGCGGCTTGGGGCCAGCGATGGAGAGGGGGGCACCATGATAGTCCCCTGGGCCTGAACTGGACTGAGGGAGGTTATGGGGCCTGGGGCAGTCAGCTGCCTTGGGGTCTGGAGGCCATCAGGAGCCAGGTCAGGGTTTTGGGAATTGGGTGGGGCCTCTGAGGGTCCRGACGGCTGCTATGGGTGGCTTGCAGGAGTGGTGGCATGATCCTACCTGGCATCTGGATGGGGCCATGGTCAGGTTTTGACAATGTCGTTTGTGGTGAAGGGACACAGCCACATGTGGGATTCTGGGGCAGCTCCTGGTCAGTGTACCCTGGTTGTTACTGAACTGTGGTTGGTGACGTGGGCTGTCCCTAGAGCAGTGAGTCTGGCCGCAGGCCCTCTGTCTGGCTGTGCCCACCGTGGGGACCAGCTGGACCCAGACACCTCCTTGGCTCCTCTTGCAGCTGACGAAGAGGCCCCTGATTACGGCTCTGGTGTCCGCCAGTCAGGAACCGCTAAGATCTCCTTTGACGACCAGCATTTCGAGAAGGTACCGGGCACTGCTCTCCTCACACAGCTGGGGACACGGCCCAACCCCTGGGTCTTCCTGGTGCTCTGCTCCCGTCCCAGGCACCGGCCTGTCCTGTCTCTTGCTTTCTACGACCTGCAGTGCCCCTTCCTAGCTTCTGGCCCCCCCCTGGGTCTTGTACAGCCGAGCACAGAGTGGGGGTGGGGACGAGCTTCGGGAAGACAGCCCAGTGTCCCTCTCTTGAGTGGCACACTGGGTTTCCCACTGCCCCTCACCTGCCTCCCCAACCCTAACCTGAAGAATGAGGGGGGCCCCACAGAGGCCACCACCTCCAGCCTCAGAGAGGGAGCAGATCCAAGGCACCCTCTTCTGCCCTCTGTAGAGAGAGAGGAGGGGACAGTCCTTGTGATGACCAGGCTCAGGGCTTTGTCTTTTCCTTAGACATTCTTCTAGCCTGTGCCCACCTAGCTACCTGTCACCAGGAGCCTCACAATTCCGCACCCTGAGAAGGGTGCACGTGACCCTACTGCTTCCCCCTCTTAGAGGGGTGTCAGTGCCAGGAATGCCCAGGATCRGGTGGTTACCTGTGTCCTGCCCATGGGAGGGCCCCGGCTGCAAGAGGATGCTTCCTTCCCCATTTCCCAAAGCCCGCCTCCTGTTCTTGCCCTCAAGGGTGGCCGCTCACAGCAGGGGGGACAGGCTGTGGCCAGCGGTCTGGGTCTGCAGCAGGGGCAGGTCTGGAGCTCAGGTCCCTGCAGGCCCTGGCCCAGGGCTGCACACCCTCCTGTGGGGTGTGATGGGCCGGGATGGCCCACCTGGCCAGCTCCCAGCTCCCGTCTCTGACTCTGCACCCTGCACAGTTTCAGTCTGAGTCCTGCCCCGGGGTGGGGATGGCTCGCTCGGGGACCTCTCAGGAAGAGCTGCGCATTGTGGAGGGCCAGGGCCAGGGCGCAGACRCAGGGCCCTCGGCCGACGAGGTGAACAACAATACCTGCTCAGGTAGGTCCCCCAGGGGTACCAAGCCTGGCTGCCAGCCCCGCCATGTGGCCGCAGAACAGCCTGGAGACCCTGTTGCTCCCCCGACTCCCAGCAGCAGTGCCCCCAGAAGGTCTCCTGCTGGACAGCCCTGAGAAAGCCGTCCTGGATGGGCCCCTGGACACTGCCCTGGACCACCTCCGCCTGGGCAGCACCTTCACCTTCCGTGTGACCGTCCTGCAGGCCTCCAGCATCTCTGCCGAATACGCAGACATCTTCTGCCAGTTTAAGTGAGCCCTGCCCTCTGTCCCCAGGCTGCCCTGCCCTCTGCCCCCTAGCTGTCCTGCCCTCTGTCCCCAGGCTGCCCCGCCCTCTGCCCCCCACCCAGGCTGCCCGGCCCTCTGTCCCCAGACTGCCCC